ATTATTTCTTTTCTTCTACTGGTTTTGGGGGTTTTTTTGTTGTTCTTTTTCTAGATCTTTGAGCTTCGAGATTAGGTTGTTTCTTTGAGTTCTTTCTTGTTTCTTGATGTGAGCTTCTATTGCTCTATATTTTCCTCTTATTACTGCTTTTGCTGCATCCCATACATTTAGGATATTGGTGTCCTCCATGTCATTCAATTCAAAGAATTTTTTAATTTCCTCTTTGATCTCCTCATTAGTCCAGTGGTCTTCCAGTAGTGTGGTTTTTAATCTCCATGAGGTAGAAGATTTTCCTTGCCTTCTTTTTATGGTTTATTTCTAGTTTGATGCCTTCATGGTCAGAAAAGATGGTTGGTATGATTTCAATCTTGGTGTATCTGTTGATGTTTGTCTTGTGCTCCAGTATGTGATCGATCCTGGAGAATGATCCGTGTGCACTTGAGAAAAATGTGTACTCCATTTTTTGGGGGTTTAGTGTTCTATAGATGTCTGTTAAGCCCAAATGCTCTAGGTCCTTATTTAGAGCTTTAGTTTCTTTACTTATTTTTTGTCTTGTTGATCTATCCATTGTTGATAGTGGTGTGTTGAAGTCTCCCACTACGTATGTGTTTTCTCTGATGTCTGTTTTCAGAGAGGACAACAGTTGTCTGATATATTTTGGTGCTCCTTCGTTTGGTGAGTATATGTTAATGAGTGTTATTTCTTCTTGAAGTATTGTCCCCTTGATCATAATGTAGTGACCTTTGGGGGTCTCTTTTTATTTTTTTGAGTTTGAAATCTGTTTTATCTGATATAAGTATAGCTGTTCCTTCTTTCTTTTTTGGTCCATTTGCTTGTAGGATTGTTTTCCATCCTTTAACTTTGAGTCTATTTTTATCTTTTGTAGCTAAATGTGTTTCCTTGGAGATAGTAAAAGGTTGGGTTTTGTTTCTTAATCCAGGCTGCAACTCTGTGTCTTTTTATTGAAGACTTTAGTCCATTTACATTTAGAGTTAATATTAATATGTTAGCATCTGTATTTGCCATTGTGTTTGTCTTTCCTTTGATTTTATTTATTTATTCTTTTAATAACTTTTTATTATTATTATTATTATTGGCCTTCTTTCATTGTTATTTGTCCCTCTGAGGTTCTGGCTTTAGGATTCCTTGTAGTATTTTTTGGAGTGGGGGTTTAGTCGTAATGAAATTCCAGAGTTTCTGTTTGTCTGGGAAGGTCCTTATTCTTTCTTCATAGAGAAGGAGAGCTTTGTGGGATAGAGTATTCTTGGTTGGCATCTGTTTTCTTGGAGTCTGTTGACTATGTCCCTCCACTCTCTCCTTGCCCGTAGTGTTTCTTCAGAGAAGTCTGATGTCAGTCTGATTGGTTTTCCTTTGAATGTTATCGGTTTCTTCCCTCTTGTCAGCTTCATGATTTTTTCCTTGTCCTGGATTCTTGGGAGCTTTACTATTATGTGTCTTGCTGTATTTTTCCTTTCGTCGTGGTAGTTTGGTGTTCTTCTTGCTTCTTGTATATCAATTTTCAGCTCCTTCTTCACATTTGGGAAGTTCTCTTCAATTATCTCTTTGAATATTTTCTCTGTTCCTACATCTCTCTCCTCTCCTTCTGGTAATCCTATAACTCTTATATTTCCTTTCCTCATGGAGTCAGATAGTTCCCAAAGTCTTTCTTCAGTCTTTTTCCTTCGTACTTCTCTTTCCTTTTCTGTTTTGGTTCTTTTTATTTCTGTGTCTTCAAGAGTACTTATTCGTTCTTCCATTTCATCTATTCTGCTTTCATTGCTTTTCCCAGAGTTCTTTAGTTCCTCCATTAATTCTTTGATCTCCTGCGTTTCTTTTGCTTCCCTCTTTAGGGACTCAATTTCCTTCTTCTGACCATTGTTTTCCCTCTTTAGGGACTCAATTTCCTTCTTCTGATCATTGTTTTCCTTTATGAGTTATGTCAGTTTTTTCATCACGGAAATTTTAAATTCTCTTTCTGGAAGGCTCAGAAGTTCTTCCAAGTTACTGTCGTTGCAATCTGGGGGGTGGTTTTCTTTTTGTGGTGTGCTTTTTTCCTGAGGAGCTGTTAGGTTGCGTGTGGTTCTTTTACTCCCTACTCTGTTTTCTAATTTGTCGTATGCATTGGGACACTGTGTTGCTGGGACTGGCTGGCATCTTGGGTGAGCTTCTCCGCTCCCCTCTGGCTCCTCCGGGAGCCATCTGTCGGTTTCAAGCAGTCTTACTGAAGAAAGGTCCCTGTTCTAAAATGCCGATGTGGGGACACAGTCCCCTGTGCGCTTGGTCTGCCCCGGCGGTGCGTTCCTGCTCCCACTCTGGGTTTGGACTGCAGGCCAGAAGGGGCCTGGCGTGGGTGAGCCTCCCCGCTCACCTCTGGCTCCTGAGGGAGCCTTCTGCAGGCAGTCTTTACTGAAGAAATGTCCCTGTTCTAAAATGGCGATGCGGGACGCACTCCCTGCATGTCCGGTCTCAGACACACTCTTCTGAGCGCCCGGTCTGCCCCAGCCCTGGGTGCCCACTCCTCCTGTGGGTTCAGACTGCTGCTCTGAAGGGGCCTGGGGTGGGCTAACTTCCCAGCTGGCCACAGGCTCCTCCAGGAGACTTCTGCCGGTTTTAAGCAGTCTTTTCTGTTCTATGGGGTGTTAGTGACTTTTTTTCTGGTTGCTAGGTGGCACCAGAGATCTTTCCTATTGTCTTTGGGGAGCTGCCTTTTTCACCCCGTGGGACAGGGAACAGAGTGGGAATGGTAGGGAAAACCTCAACGGCTTTGGGATGCTGTGTCTGCCCTGTGCCCCACCGACGTGGAGGACCCACGCCCCAAATTTCGTGCCCCGGGTCTTAGTTCCAAAGCCCTCAGGTCCACGATGCGGGCTGTAGCCCAGTTCAGTGGTCACAGGAATGGCGCCTTTTGCACCCCACTCCCGTGTCCGGGCGCCTGGTTTCGGATTACTCAGTGAGGCACATTCACCTCAGTGAGGGCCCCCATGCGTCTCCCCACAAGCCTAGGTCGCAGGTGCGGGTTCCTGGGCAGCCGCAATCCGTGTTTGCTTTTCAAGAGCGCCAAGCGCGCCGCTTTTCTGCGCAAGCTTACCGGCCAGCCAGGGGCTGCGTGCAGGTCTCCAGAGTCTCTGTTGTTCTCTAATGGCGCCCGGGGCCGTTCGCTCACCACCGCGGCGAATCCTGCAGGGTTCTCCACAGCTCCCGTTCACGGGGTGTGGTGGCTACAATAGTTCCTTTCCACTCACAGTCCCGCTTGCTGCGTAGTTTGTTCTTGTTGGTCGTTTTAGTTTGTTGTTTTCCTCCTCTCTGCGGGTCGGAGAGTGCCGCCTCTGTGGGCGGGGGAGGGTAGCAGGGTTCTGCGCTTCCCTCCCTTCTAGTCCTCTTTTATGGCAACTTTCTTCTTCGGGTAGTTTGCTGGAGTCACCCGTTTATCTTCCGTGTCCCAGTTCTCACTGGGACCTGCCGCGTTTCCTCCCTATTAACTTTTTTTTAATGGGAGATCTCACTCGAAGCGTCTCCTCGCCACCATGTTCTCTATTTCTTTTATAAATAGGTTTAGATAGGAATTTGAACATTTGTTTACAATTATTGGTATAAAGTTGTATTTGATTGTTACATCCTTGCTTGATGTGTAGAAACTCGTTTAATCTCATCTCATATTTGTCTTCTTTTATTCTATATGTTTTTATTCAAAACCAATTTTTCTTCTGCTTGTTCAAGTTTTCTCTGAAGTTTCCTTAGTTGATCATGTTTTGTTCATGCATTTTTCCCAGTTTTGTTTTGTCAGTATATGTTCTTGCAGTTTGTTCTATGCTTGCAGTTCTTGCAGTTCTTGCTATGCTTCTATAAGTGCATTGATCTGAATTCTTTGGCAGAGAGTTCACACATGTCCATTTCCTTAGGTTCAGTTTTGCGCTTTATTTGATCTAGTGGTCATGTTCACCTCACTCTTCCTGACCCCCAATTCTCTGATCAGGTGTATGCACATCCAAGCCAAGTCAGCTCTTCTCTCAGATTCCATGGCTCCAGTGGTGCTTTGGCCTCACGTCTAGTCTGGGATTTTTGAACCGAAAAGTCTCTGGATGTTGCTCAAGCACACAGTGTGGATTTGAATTTGATCCTGCCTGCCCAGGAAGGAAGTGAAGATGGGTGTTCTGGCTCTGTCGGTAGAGGAACATGTTTGAGAGCTCGGGAAGGTGAGCTCATGGTTTCCTTTATATCAAGAGAGGGGAATGCCATTTCTGCCAGAGGCAGTAGGAGCCAGTCCTTGTCCAGTGGTGGCAGGAGGCTGTGTGGATGGTGCACTTGGGATGGAAACCCAAGTGTAGTTATCAGCCTCCTTACAGCAAAGACTCAAGTGGGCCAATCCCATGTCCCGCTTGGGTGAGAAGAACATAAGTGCCAAGGCAGGGTCTCCTGTCTCACTCTTCCGGCCTCAGTAGTTCTTCCTCATGTCTCTGACTTCATCCTCCTCTCATCTCCTGACAGCACATAGGAAAGATAGTAGCTATGGAGCCCTGAGTCTTCACCAGAACCCTGGTCCTGTGCAGAGCATGACAAAGCCCTTCCCATAACCCTGCAGTACCCAAGATATCAGACACAGTTATCCCCCTATTTACAACAAGGAAACTAAAACACAGGGGACATTAAGTATCTTGCCCAAGTGATTAACAGTGTGTGAGGGGTGAGACAAGATCGTATTCACCTTCCCAAGATATTTTAGGATATTTCCATAGAGCAGAATTCAGCCAAAACCAGATGTGGCCCAGCCCTTGGTGACAGATGCAGACCCGGCTATGGGGAGGGGGACTCCTCCATGTGCACAGCACAGGACACCAGGGTGCTCTGTCCTGGCAGGAGCAGTGTGGCTGTGTCCCATACAGCACGTAGCAGGGCTTGCCAGCGAACCAACTTTGCTGTTGATCAGAATACATTCCAAATCCCTTTGACTCAACAAGTCTCAAAGTTATCTACAATTCAGCACACAAATATCTCAACTGGCATAGGTTTTTACCACTGGACTATGGGGGTGGGAGTGGCAAAGGGGTACTGCAGAGCACCTCATCAGCAGCAGAGGTCAGAGGCAGCATCCTGGACGGAGGCTGGGAGCTTATGGGTGGGGGATTTTGGAACAAAGAGCAGGAGTTGTTGAGACGAAAGCACTCCAGGTTGGGCTGAAGGTCAAGATTTGGGTCACTGGACATGTCCATACAGTGGGGATTTAATAAATTCAAGTTGATGCACCGCCCCTACAGGGAGGAGAAGAGAAAGGAGGTCACCAAGAAGCCCCTGGGATTGGGACCTTCTGAAACCTGTGGTTGACTCAAGGGGGCTGGACCCACAGAGTGGACCCTTATGATGCCTTTCCTCTCCCTGGATGCTGGATCCAGCCTGGATCCTCCTTGGAGACTCTGATCAGGTACTGGGGTCTGCCCTGTCTTCTCCAGGCACCTTCATGTTGTAACACCGGTGTCCCTCAGTTCTATCATCTGTTCTCTTGTCTGTTGTGCCTTGGACTGGGAGCTTGAGAGCAAGGATGAGGCCTCATGGCTGCAGATGCCCCAACATTTCCCAGGACCCAGGGGGGTATTGCTGAAGGTATGAGTGATGTTGGGGACATCATCCGAGCTTAGGATCTACCATGGGAGGGGATCTGCAGAGTTGGGAGCCAGGAGAGTCAAGGGCAAGTCTTAGGCCAGTCTTCTTGACTGAGGGATCTTGGGCAGTTTACCTTTCAAAATATAAGCAGTACACCCAGGACAGAACAGGAATCAGACTAAACCAGGTAACGCAAAAGAGCTATGTCATGGCTCGCGCATGATGCACCAATTATGATAACCCTGCACATAGAGTGAGCTATGGACAGGGATGCTCTGCCATAGGGACTTCGGGGTCCTCCTTGCCCCACAACCACATGGCCTCTTATCCTGGTTGTGAGTCACCCTACCCAGTGGCCATGTCTGCTATCACGATTCTTAGGGTTCCCCCCTTTTGTGAGCCATGCATGGTCTCTGCACCATTTGCAAGCTGGAAAGAGCAAGTGCCCACTAGGGCAGCCTGCCCCGGAGACACAGAGGCTCACTACAGGGAGCAGTCTTTCCTGACTGAGCGAGCTGTGTGTCTCAGTAGTTATCGTCAGTAGATTTAAAATGGAACCAAGGGCAGACCACAGAGAACAGTATGGAGGGTATTTGATTTTCTCTCCCCAGATCTGAATCACCTAGGGACAGGGGAGGATACAGGGGCTTGAGGCCACTGGAAGCCGCCATCTCTGCCATTATCCCTACGTGCTCAGGATTCTTATCTCAAAGTGGACTGTACTGCCATGGGATGTGCTTTTTTCTAAATATCTGCCCCACTCCTTGGCCGTTCATCACAGAGATGATGGTCCTGCCAGTGTGGCAGAATTGTTCAGAAGTTAAGAGCACGTGTTCACACAGGACAGGCTGCTCAGCAAAGCTTTACTTGAGCAAAGGGGGCTGGGGCCGTGGAAGGGGCCGAGGGATGTGAGGAAGTGGGAAAGGGCTGGTTCCAGAGCCACTGGCTGCCCGAGACCCCTTACAGGAGTCAACAATGTCCACCCGAGTTATCTTGTTCTTCCCTGGCTCCTCCTGCTTGTCAGGACTATACTCCCTAGTACAAACAGGCAGTGTTGGCCAGACAATTTGGTGGGCACAGCCACAAACCCCCACTCACCACAGCAGGGTCTGAGCAGATGGGATGGAGCCAGCATACCCCCAGGGTATGTGGTGGCTGGGAACTGGCAAGTGGAAAGGAAAGCTCTGGCCTCCTCACCCCTGCCTTCCTCACCAATGTTAATTTCTAGATGTGAATTTCTCCTGTCATTCCTGAGATAACAATGGAGGGAAATCCAAGGGACCACCCAGAAACCTCTGGCAGAATCCTGAGCACCATGTCTCAGACCTTCCTCTTGGCAGATGCTCAGACAGGGTTCTCTGACCCATAGTCCCAGAGGACAACTGTCAAGGGCAAAAAAGGAGGCTCCTAGCCCACAGGGGCCACCCCGGTCCCTACTTACCTCGTCTCTGGGCCCCTGGTGGCAGCTTAGAACAATGTTGCACAAGGAATCCAATTTGCTCTGAAAGCAGACACACCTGTGAGGACTCTCTGAGCTGCCTCCAGAGGGGGAGTATACCCGCCACCTCCCCAAGTCACCCAATCACTTGTCCCCACAAAGTCCATGAGGTAAGCATGCAGAATCTACCTAGGGCAAGGGGGCTGTGTTGGGGGGTTAGAGATATTAATTGTGGATCAGGGATTATTTTGGAATTGGAACAATGTGTAGTCCCTGCAAGAGAAGTCAGGGTTTCCTTTTGGAGGACAAATTCAGGTGCTGGAAGAGATATGTGGTGACCAAAGAGAATGCCTGAAGGGGAGGCATGCAGTGGTCTTAGGGTACCTGAGCAGGAGCAGGAAGCAGATGAGGAGGGCCTGCCTAGGGGGGCACACCCTGCGTAGGCAGCAGGTTGCAGGTACAGTGGGGCAGGGAGAGAAGAGGAAACAGAGCACAGAGCAGAAGCTACCCTGGTGTATTGTTGATCTGGGGCCCTGCAGTTCAGAACCCAGTAGCTCTGGTGCTACAAGACATGGGGCCATGCCCTGAGGAAATGATCCTCCCACTCCAAGGCCCTCCTCATTCTCTTGTGGTGTGTTTTGGCTTTTTTGTGCCACAGAGCACAGGGATAGATGTAGACCAAGACCAGTGGAACACAATTGAGAGCCCAGAAATAAACTCCTGCTGATATGGCAATTAATTTGTGACGAGAGAATTTATATGGAGAAAGGAAGCTCTCCTCTACAATGGTGTTGGGAAAACTGGACAGCCACATGCAAAAGAATGAGTCTGGCACTCTCTCTTATACTATACACACACACTAACTCAGGTAATTTTGATGTGCGACCTGAAACAGGGAACATAGAGAAGAAAACACTGACAATCCATGGCATTGGTTTCAGGGATGTCTTTGTGGAGTTAACTTCAACAGCAAGGGTAGACTGAGAAAAATTTAAAAATGGGAGCCCATCAATCTAAAAACCTGCTTCAAAGTGAACAAAACTATCATTAAAATGAAAAAAGACACCACCTCGAATGGGAGAAAATAGTTAATAATTAAACATCAACAAGAGACTAATGTGCAAGACCTATAAAGAATTCTAAGGAGACACACAGAAGGCCACCAGCACGGAACTATGCTCAGCATCACTTACCATCAGGGAAATGCACATCAGGCACAGAGACCTCCCAGCTCACCCCTGTGAGGGTGGAGCATATGAGAAAGACCAGACACAACTGTGTTGGCCACGATGTGCAGGACAAGGAGCCTCATGCACCGTTGGTGGGAAAGGAACTGGTGCAGTCCTTGAGGACAGCAAAATATAGATTTCTCAGAATTGTAAAACTACTTCTACCTCATGGCCCAGTAAATCCACTCCTAGATATCCTCAGAAGAATGCAAAAAACACTAATTTGGAGCGATATCTGCTGTCCTGTCTTCACTATCTAGAATATTCAAGTCAAGTAAGCAACCTAAGTGCCTGGGTACAGATGAGGTTTAAGATGTGATATACACACACTCTCTCTCTCTCAAACACACACACACACACACACACACACACACATACAACCACACACTGGGATAAATCTTGCTTTAAGATAAAATTGAGACAGGGCAAGCTAGGGTTATTAGGCAGTTTTAGGGACAGTGCAGGAGGGGACCTCTGAAGAATTTAGGGAGGCTTCAGAGAAAAGGACAACCAAGGGAATGTAACCCATTCCACTGGGAAAAACAAACATCCTAGGACCACAGACAATCTTGTTAAGGATGGTCCTGGATTTCTTCAGGTGATAAAGAAAAGGTGTGGAGATGCTCTCCCGGAAGACTAGGCCATAAAGATAAAGATGTAACAAATGGGGGATGTAACAAATGGGGAAAGAGAAAGCTGTTAGATAAGGAATGTGAAGATCCCCCACTCAGTAGCAAATTAAGTGAGACAGCCGAGAACTGACCAATCACAGAGAGACTGGTGGAGCTTTAGAATAATCAGGGAAAGAAGGTCTATATTCCCCGAGACACGACTCCACTTTGGCTTCCTTGCCCCTCCCAGGCCTGGTTCCCTGGCCTGGGAGTCCCACTTTATTTCTGTTCTTTTTCTCCTCAATAAACTTTTTCTAAACAAACCTGCCTCTTCTCGCTTGCTTGCCTGAGCGTCTGCGAAGTTCCTGCTGCGGCTTCGTGAGACACCAACCCGTGGGGGTCTAGCGGCTGGGGCTCAGCGCTGCCCTGCAGCCTAAAATCCGTTCCTGGCTGGGAGACTAGGCCTGACAATTCCGGTATCAAAATGAAGGCTTTCTACTTGAGGTAACGTGCACAGAACTAGAGGGGGAGCTAAGCACAGTAAGTCAGAAGGAAAGTGACAGATACAGGGAGAATGTACTCATTGTGGAATATTAAGAAACTAAACAAAGCAATTAACAAAAGTAAAGCAGAATAAACACAAGATCAGACTGCAGAATTGAGGCCACTGTTGGGGGATCGTGAGAGTTGGAGAACAGAGGAGGCAGAATGGACTAGGGTGGGATTCTGATGATTTGCTGGTGGCTGTAGTGTGATCACACACATCTGCAGAGGTGTGAACCTACACTCCTAAATCATATACAGTGTGGTAAACCACTGTCACCCAATAAAGAAAAAAAAAGCAAAATAAAATCAAATAAAATTTTGATTAATTAAAAAGAAATATCCTCAAATTGTGTATCTTTCTTCCTCAAAGCTGACACTCTGGCCCTCCCCATCCCTGTCATCAGGGCTCCCCCTGGGCTGTGTGTGTCTGACCAGCACAGACCCTTGCACATTGGGGGGAGAATATTTACTCAGGCTCCTCTCCAACGGGGCCCTTGTCACCCCCACTCTGAGGGCCATGGGGCAGAGGCAGGGGGTTCTTTCCCTCACTCAGCTGAGGCAGCTTCTGCAGGGCAGCAGTTGCACCAACATCTCCAATAATGGCGTGAAGAACTTGACTCAGAATTGCTTTCTTCCCTTTTTTTCTGGTCTGTGGAGTCCTGTTTGATTTAGTTTTTTTGTTTATTACCTGCTGCCCACTGAAACACACCACTGGGATTGATGCAGCCTCTGTGAGAACCAGAAGCTGGTGACTGTGAGCCAACCAGCAATGTCTATAAACCTGGCCTGTCCCCCGGGGAAACCCCAGTTTGAACCAGCAAGGTTGTGGTGGTGAGAGCACAAACCCTCATACTTTGTGGCCTCCCTTGAGCTCTAAGGTTGAAAGGACATCCATTATCCCCCTGAACCAATTTTTATAATGTCTAGTAGGTCCTCTCCACCCGGCCCCTGGCACCCAATGTGTGACCTGTCCTTCTGCAGGCATAGCCTGGGGGTCTCTATGGGTCTCTCACCTCTATCCTTGAAATGCTCTCTTCTTGGCAACAACAGGGGATAATCACCAAGGGGCAAGTCTTCCTTGGCTCCTAGGAAGAGAAAGCTCTGTCTGCTTCCTTGTCTCGCAGTTCCTGGGTGCACACACATGACGTGTTACCCCAGTTCCTGTCAACTTCTGGCCCTTCAGCTAAGGCTTCTGGGGAGATTTCAAGAACAACTGAGCAGGCAGCACCCTGTACTGTAAGGACAATGCAACTGTACTGCATACACAAGTAAATTACATTGTTTGCAAAGATGGCTCATTCCCAGGGACAACAAATTCTCTCCTGCTCCATTGTTTCCCTGCGGCTGCCCTTTGGAGAAGCATCAGAGCATCAGAGCCTGCAGGGGTTGACCAGGAACCAGAAATGTGAGTTTTGATTTCCAAATGCTCACCTAGTGCTGGGGAAGGACATCCACACACAGTCCTCTGGGTATTAACCAAAACATCCCCTTCATTTCATATGAATCATAGTAATCCGAGACACGATACATAGAGTTGTTTTTTCAGTAATAAAGATCCCAGAATTGCTGTGTTTCTGTCACCAATTGGGAACCCCACACCCTCCCTAGGGCTCCTCCCTGCCCCCTGTCACCCTGCTCTCTGCCAGCTCTCTCTGCCCACGTAGGTGGAGAAGGTAGGATGGGAGTGGACATATCCCACAGCTCAGGAGCCTCTTCGTGAAGGTCTGTGTGGCCATCAGATGGCTGACAACATCGGGAACACAAACAAAACTTGCCTGTTTCTGCTCCTTGTTCTAGAAAGTAGAAGAGATAAGCACAGGATAAAAGCACTGTGTGGGGCTCTGGCCAGTTGATGCAGGCAGGAAGGGACCCTGCTCAGCAGGAGTGAGTAAGAACCTGGGCTTTGGGTATCACCGTGGGCGCCCAGCCTGATGGGTCCCTGGCCAGCAGTTGCATGTCCCTGGGCCCAGGCTCTCAGTTATCAGAGGGGACACGGTTCCTTCCAGGACCTGCTCAATCCTGTGCTGGGTTCTGTGTCTTTCCACCTCTGCTCTTCCTCCTTCTCCCCCGAGCATGTGTCCTGGCCACCCAGCTAGGATGCCTCTGCTGGCCTCCATGCTCCCGGGGCCAGTCTGTGCTTGGCTATTGCTCTGCTCTGTCAGGGCACTTGGTCCCCCAGAAGGTGGCATTTTGTCCTTAACCTCATGCCCGCCAAGGTACGAACACCTGCCCAAATCCCAGACTGTAGCTGCTGGGGATAGGCTGGCAGCTGCTTCCTTTTTGCTCCTGTGCGCCCAGCATGGAGAGGTGGAGAGCAGCCCTGGGGATGTGCAGACACCATGCTGGTTTCTAACGCACAGCTGCCCAGAGGTTGGGAATACTGCTCATTCTGCTTTGGGGCACCTGTGCCTCCTGAAGGGCCCCTTCTTCCCTCAACAGCAGAGGCCTCCTCCCAGCCTCTTGTCCAGCTGAGTGCTCAGAACCTGGGTGCCCTGAGGCAGCCATGCCCATGGTTCTGGGCCTTCTCCCCAGGGGCCTGCCAGCCCGTCGGCCAGGTGCTGTGCAAGCCAGAGGCAGGAGGCCCCTGCCAGGCTGTCTCTCCACTTGGGAAACTGGAGCAGAGCCTGGGCACCCCTTTGCTCCTGTGAGGACTGTGTGCCGCCGGGGTAGCAGGGGCCATGTCCCTAGGGGAGTTGGCCTGGGTTTCAGGGCAAAGGGCCAGGGGCACTCACCCTCCCACAGCAGCAGATGCAGCAGATCAACAAAGGCATGATGACCAGGGCTGGGGCGAGAACCCAGTAAAGGAGAGGGTCCACAGGGGGCTCAACGGTGAGCTTGGTGGTCTTCACTTTGACTGTCGTGGATGCTGGAGTTTTTTTTGTGGTGACAACTGTGGACTCTGTGGTCATTTTTGTTGTGACAGTAGTGGGCACTGTGCTTGTTTTTGTGGTAGATATCACCCGTGTGGTCTTCATTGTGGTGGTTGTTTTTTTGGTTGTCACCTTTGTGGTGGGATCTGTAGGCTCTATTATTGGATCCTACAGAAAGCACACATGTCAGATACCTAGGGTGGACTGGGAGTCTCTTCCAGGTGCCTTCCACCCAGTATCCACACCAGACTCCCTGTCTGTCCACTTTCCTTCTCCCTGAGATGCCACCGAGAGCATCCAATGCAGGACTAGGACCCCAAGGATGGTGCCCAGAGGCAAGGTGGAGGTGGTACACCTCCCCACCCACCAATGGATCTACGTAGAGGCTCTGCCCCAGACCCTGTCAAGGAAGCCAGAGGCCATGCAGAGTGACAAGCTCAGCTACCCCCAAGACACCAGGACAAAAATTGTACAGATACTGAGACGGGTTGTGGGAGGGCTGATGGGCCCCCTGAGAGGTGGAGGTGCAAGACAGAGCGGGAGACCCAGGCCCATCGCCCATGGACATGTTCCCTCACTAACAGACTCTGCAACCTTGAGCAAAGCTGTTCAATCTCCTGAGTGTGTGTTTCCACATCTTTAATAGGCACATGCAGGGTTTCGAGAGAGGTCACAGAAAGATCAGAGGGTCTCCAAAAAAGACCTGAGCAGCTGACTACACCTGAGAGCTTGTCAAAGCACTCCCAGGTATTTGCCAAGTCTGAGTGGGGAACAGGTTCTGGTGAAGGACCCAGCATTTGGGAGATGCGGCACATGCTACTTGCTGGCTCTCCTGGGATGCTGTTTCCCCTCCACCTTCCCAGGGGGTGTCTACTTCCAGTGCAAAGCTCTAGATATTCCTGGGGGGCGGGGGTTAACCCCACCCTGTGACTCACACAATCCTTGCTGGTGTAATCCATGTATTCACTCATGGCAGAAAGGCCATAATCCAGGCTATAATCAGCTCTCACTGTCCTGAAGAACAGAAGATGACAATGTTACCAGCCATACAGATAGAAACAGACCTTACACTTTATTCAAACCAAACCCACTGCTTTTCCCATTGTGATGGCCTTGAATATCAGGCATTTGGAGCTAGTCTACAACAGACGGCCAAGGACTGGGTGGCGGGGTGAAGCGGTGGGGAGAGATGGGTGAAGTGCTTACCCTAATCACAGTGAGGTTAAAGTCAGGCAGTAAGGAGTCTTAAAGGGGTCAGAAGTCCTTGTGCCCATGACCTAAGGGGCTAGAAGGCTGTGTGGTGTCACCATTCTGACTCTTCTGTATTTACATTGTGTTGGCTCAGCTCTGACAGTCTACAAGTTAAGGCACCCTTCCTGGCACCTCATCTCCCACATCCTGTCCTCAGCAGAGGCTGAGTCACAGCACATCCTGAGCACATCAAGGGGAGCACCAACAGGGCAGGTCAGGAGGATGCACTGAGCTGTGCCAGAGACAGTCACTTGCTGCCCCATTAGAAGTCTACATTCCACACACTGCATGTGCCAACTACTGCCCACCTGTTCCCCAACCTGGGGCACTTACTGTCCAGGCTGGCTGAATACATGTCCTTTACAAACTACTTCATCACCATTTATTGCTGTGGGCATTGCTGCCAAAAGAAAATGACATGGAAAAATATCAGCAGACATGCCATCCATCACTTCTCATCCTCTGCCTGCCTTGGCAGGGGCCGCTAAGAGCCTGGCAGGTGCAGATTCTCTTCTCTGCCTTCTCAACACCTGCCTACACCAGCCTGTGCAATGATTAGTGTTGAATGGGAACAGGAAGCAAGAGCCTGGGCTCTCCAAGTCTTATATTTGTGAGATTAGAAAGAGAGAGACAAAAAAAAACAGTGAACAAAATAAAAACCAGAATGAAGAGAGATGCAATGTCAATAAACAAGACATGGGACAGAGAAGAAGAATGTTAGGGTGGATTAACCTGTCCTACCTTCAGGGAAACTGAGATATTTATAAGAAGATGATGTCAACTGGGATTGATTTAAAAATTATGATGAAGGTATCAACAAAACCAGATTGTTCTGTGTTAATAATCACTGTGAGTAGGGGATGTGTCATTATTCAGTGTGTCTCCTTTTTTAAATATTGTTGAAAATTGCCATTCAAAAATACAAGATGGAAATGTGATGACAGGAAAACCAGGGAATTATCCCAGGACAGTGTCTGGGCTGTGAGGGGAGCATGTGACAAGTCCCTGAGGCATAAGTAGCTGATTCTGTTGAGGAGGAACAAAGTGAGATAAGTTCTCGCCGGCCGCAACAGCTTCTGGGTTTTATTCTATGTACAGTGGATGTGTTGAAGGTCTGACCAGATCCAGATGTTTCGGGCCAAAGGCAACAGGAATCACCATGGCCTGGACATAGGAATGAAAGCACAGAGAAGTCAGGGGTGACACGCAGCCTATTGATCAGAGTGACTGGGTGGACAGTGGTCCTTTTCATTGAGACAGGAGAGCTGAGCAGGGAACAGCTTTGTCTTTGCTTTTGCATTCCTTTGTTTTGTGTGAATTAAGAGTTTGTTTAATAAGGCTCAAACATTTCTTGATGCGTTGATGTGGGTATATCTACTCCTGAGCCTCAACTCTCTTGAACCCTGAACTATGGACACGGGTCAGGGTTAATGCCACAGAATCATCCATTTCCACCTGCACTAATCTTTTTGGTTTTATCTAAACTGTCAGATTAGTGATAAACTTCTGAACGAAGTGTGGATAATGAAAACTAAGAGGCATGTATGTTTAGGAGGAGAGATTTTTGTCTGAGTGGTAGGGGGTTAGGAGTAGTGAGAAAATTCCCAAGAAAAGTGATTTGCTTTCCAATGGGAAAGCCCAGAACAAGGAGCCGAGGTGATGGCAGACACCAGGCATTCTGAGGTCCCATCAAAGTGTGGGTATCTGGAAAGGATTTTCCATCAGTATCAACTATTTCAAATTTTAAAATTATCATTTATGCTACCATATATATTCCACATTTTTTATCGTAGGAAAATGTAACTGAAAACAATCATATAGATCTTCATATGAATCCTCATCAGCGCATCCTGGCGACAAACACCTTTGATATCCCAGAGCTTAATTGTGGAATTCCAGTTCTTGTCTCTCAAGGGAAGTGAGCCCTGAGGAAAGAGTAGGGAAAGGCAGTTCTGAGGGAACCCGCTCCCCCATCCATTGCCATGCCCAGCATGAAAATGCCTGACCCAAGACACTCCCGTGGTGCCGAAGACACACCTGAATCTCACCTAGGTGCTTTGTCCAGTCTCCTTGCTGCCTTGGTCCTCAGCGTGCACAGAGAATGGTCAGCAAGGGTTTTCCAGGCTTGTCCTACTAGGAAGGGCAGTTGTGGGAAATTTGTGATTTGGGGGCAGTGTGGGGAGATACTTACAGTAGACATACGTGTAGATGGGGGCAATCATATGAGCACACCGAATCTGGTGCGTGCTTCCATGAAAGTTTCTTAGAAAGAAAGTCGTGTCATAGTTTTCTGCCAAGGTAACATCAAAAGGTATGAGTGAGGATGGGCCACATTCTGTTCCCCAAAGATCCCACCATAAGGTAGGCCACCCCCAAGGACTCCACGAGGAAGCAGGTGTGTTGGACCTTATCTATGTGCTCCCTGGGCCCGATCCTCATGGTGTCTCTGGGGCCACTCTGAGGACACCGGCAAGGCCCTGAGCTCTCAAGGACAGGTGCAGCCTTGCCCCTCTTTTCTGTCCAGGGGTCTCAGACAAGGGAAATGATCTTCTCAGCCCCTTGGGGTGCTGAAGGAGCATGGGCTGGAGCCAGGATCTTGAGGCAGGGAGGGAGCAGAGGCCTCTGGCGGTTGAGGAGGCTGAGCCCTTGTGCTCACCCTGCCTGTGCTCACCAAGTCTCTGTGGGCCACTGTTTCTTTGGATTAACTCCTCCTATTCCATTTGGAATCTAGGTGATTGTTGCACTGGGTGTCAGCTTTTGACAAGAGAGCACTTTACAAGGTCAGAACAGGGATTGCAGGGCCAGGCTGGCAGGGGGTGTCAGGAGGACTCCTGTCACCTTGCTGGACCACCACAGGGAGGAATGAGGACCAGTGTTTACATGCTGTGTCTCCCTGGCTCTCAGGCTGCCCCCATGGGTGAGAATTTATATGAGAAAAGACCCCTGTGTGCGTGGGAGGGATTGGGTATCAAACCCAATCCACAGGAGGCACTGCAGGTCACAGCTTCGAAGAAGTCAGGATGAGTCGGAGGAGACACTTCCATTTGGATGCTCTGTAACTACCCCCCTGCCTGAGCTCAGCATGGGCAGCAAAGCAATGGTCAGTGATGGAAATAGGAGCACTGCTACTCTCCCTTAAGTCTACCTGTTTCTATTCTGAGCTGGCCACTGCACAATCCACTGGTCTCCTCTCTCTCACAGATCTTATAAGGGGTATTCATCTTTCTGCCTCTTGGAGACATCAGGGGAGCTCGCAGATCATGGTATCCTTGCTCCAGGTGGCTGGCCAAGGGCAGCAGAGCTCAGCTGGAGCAGTGTTCTTTCTGACCCCATGTTAGGGTGCTCCAGCATTAACAAAAAGGGCACAGAGGCAGAGCCAGCTTCCCCGGGTCTGGCACAGCTGGATCAGGCTGTGTGCTGTTCCCAGAAGAAGGGCATGTAACTGTGGAGCTCAGCTCTCTGCTACCTGAACTGGGACAGCACAAGCTGCATATATGCAGCTCCTTAGAGAGAGAGGCCTTTGAGCAGAATGGACGTGCCTGGACTTCCTCAACACAGCACTGCCAGGACCCTTTCTGGGGAGAGCAGGCAGCCATGTCTCTGTCCAGCTCTCAGGAGAGGCCTCCATATTTACCCGGGTGATGTCTCCTGAGGATTGGTGGGGATGTGCTTGTTGAGATTATGCCCCTACTAAGACACTGGACATTGAACTGTGTCCAATTGTTTCTCTTCATCCATTGAAACCGTCATTTTCTCTTCTTCACTTGCTGATGGCATGAATTCCACTGAAGTTTCAACTGTTAAATCAGACCTGCGAGTTATATGGTGGATCAACATGTAGGCAGGGAACTGCTACAAGTAAGCCCTTCCATAAAAATGTTTAATAGGGATGAAAAACAGCAGGTCCCTGCAAGAACTGGCACACGGAAGATAAACAGGCAACTCTGGCAAACTGCCCAAAGAGGAAAGTTGCAATAAAAGAGGACAAGAAGAAAGGAAAGCATCAGAACCCTGTTACCTTCCCCCACCCACAAAGCTGGCACACTCCAACTAACAGAAAGGAGGGGGAAAAAAAGACAAAAACAAAAAACAAGAACAAACAGAGATCAAGCAGGACAGTGAGTAGAAAGGAAATATTGCAGGCACCGCACCCTGCAACCAGGAACTGTGGAGAACCATGGACAACCATGCAAGAATTGCCACAGAGGTGAGCAAATGGCTCTGGGCACCATTAGAGGAAGATAAGGGCTCCGCAGAGAGACCTGCAAGCAGCCGAAGGCCAGCTGGTAAGATTGTACAGAAAAGCCGGCAAGCGCTCGAAAAGCATACACAGATGTCGGCTGCCCACATCCCTGCGCCCACAACCTAGGTTCATGGGGAAATGTTCCCACTGGAGCCGTCACTGAAGAGTATGATCCTCACTGAGTAATCAAAAACAGGCGCCCAGACATGGGAGCGAGGTGCAAAGGAGCCATTTTTGTGACACTGAACTGGGCAGCCCAGTTCTGAGGTTCTGAGGGTTTTGGAGCTGAGAACCGGGGCACGAAATTCAGAGCCTGGGAGCCCCACAACTTTGGGTACAGGGCAGACACAGCACCACCACGCCTTTGAGGCACTCCATGCCACCCCAACTCAGTTCCCGGAGACCTTCAGGAAAAAGCACAGCTATGGAAGGATACTAGGAAAGATCTCTGGCACCACCTAGTGATCAGAATAAAATCACCAACTTCCTGATAGTTGGAAGTCAGGGATGCCAAAACCACCCTCAGGCTCTGAGAGGGCGTGGGCCACCCAAACGAGGGTAAGAAGGGAAATAAGAAATGGAGCAAGACCCCATTCTGGAACTGAGAGCCAGGCACAGGATTCCAGGGTGTGGGACGCGCCATAACAGGGAGCACTGCACAGGGTGACAGCTGGCATTTTGGATCTGGTAGCCCTGGGAATAAGAACTAGAGCCCAGAATTCAGGGCATGGGATCCACACAGCTGAAGGCCAGCACTGGGTGAACAAGGAGCAGACACAGCTCCCAGCTTGAGCTATAGCCCTTGTGTGAAGGTGCTCCCCTTCCCCCTCTGTTTCTCAGAGAACTACAGGGGAAATGCACAGATCAGCAAATACAAGTCTCTGGTGCCACCTAGTGACCAGAGCAAAATCACCAACTAGCTGATTTCCTGCTGGAACTGAGTAAATACAAAGGGAGGAAACTGTAAAGGACAGTGCCCAGCAACACAGCAACCGCATCAACAACCTGGTGGAGTTTTGGCATAACAGTGCTGGACTCGGTCAGGTAAACAGCTTCCAACACACCTGAAGGAAAAACCCAAAGAGATGCCCACCAACACCAGTGGCACAATGTCCCCACGCATAGAACTAATTAGAAAGCAAACAGCAGGGAGAAGGAAAAATATAAATAACCAAGCAAGCCCACAGGGGAAGGACACACCACAAAAATAAGATCAGTCACCAGAATTCGACAACAATGACATGGAAGAACTTCTCTGGCTGGCACATAGAGAATTTAGAATCATCATGATTAAAAAGTGTAAAGAATAAGAAAAGGAAAAAAACAATATCAGACAAATAATCAGTGAACTGAAGAAAGAAAAAGAGACCTTAAGAAGGGAAATAAAAGAAGAGGAGGAGACTAAAAGATTACAGGAGGAGACGAAGAGCTCTTGGAAAAGCACTGAAAACAGAATTGAGGATATGGAAGAACAGATCACTACTCTTGAAGATAGAGAAATAAAAAGAACCAAAAAGAGAAAGAGAGAGAAGTACAAAGAAGAAGAATGAAGACAATCTTCAACAATTATCAGACTCCACGATTAGAGGAAATAAAAGAGTTATAGGCATTCCAGAAGGTGAGGTGAGAGACAAAGGATGAGAAATTATTCAAGGAGATAATTGAGGAAAACTTCCCAAGCATGAAAAAGGAGATAGATATAGACATACAAGAAGCAAGAAGAACACCCAATTACCACAATGAAAAGAAAACTACAGCAAGACCATAACAGTAAAGCTTGCAAGAGTCCAAGACAAGGAAAAAAATAATAAAACTGGCAAGGGGGAAGAAACAGATAACTTATAAGGGAAAATCAATCAGGTTAACCTCAGACTTCTCTGAAGAAAGACTGCAGGCAAGAAGAGAATGGAGTAACATATTCAACAAACTTCAACACAGCAAATGCCAACCAAGAATACTATACTCTGCAAAGCTCTCCTTCCTCCACAAAGAAAAACCGAACCTTCTCAAACAAACAGAAACTCCAGAAATTCATTACAATTAATGCCCCACTCCAAAAAATTCCACAAGAAGTCAAAGCCAAAACCAAGAGAGGAATGATCAAGAATACATGAAGATCTGGCCTCCCCGGTGGCGCAACGGTTTAGTGCTGGGTTGGGAAGCTGCCCGCAGTCTCTGCAGCTCCAGTTCGATCCCTGGCTGCTGGGTGAGGGTCCCACATGGCGTGCAGACCTCTCCTGCCGCTCAGTGCTCCCCTGAGCAGTGTACTTCATCACTCTGCCTGTTCTACTCTCTGTTCTGGCTCTGGTGAATTCTCTCCCCCTCCCGTGCCTCTGACTGTACCCAGTGCTTGTATAAATAAATAAATAAATCTTTAAAAAAAAAAAAGAATGCATGAAGATCAAATCATACCAACTATTTTCTCTGAACATAAAGACATCAAACTAGAAATAAATCATGAGAAGAAAACAAGGAACCCTCCCACTTCACGGAGATTGAAATCCAAGACGAACAGAATAAAGCAAGGAATAAAATCACAAAAAAGACAAACAAAATAGCAAATACAGATGCCAACATATCAATATTAACTCTAAATGTAAATAAATTAAACTCATCAATAAAAAGACACAGTGTAGCATGCTGGATTAAAAAACAAAATCCATCCTTCTGCTGTCTCCAGAAAACACATTTAACCACAAAAGATAAACACAGACTGAAAGTAAAAGGTTGGAAAACAATCCTACAAGCAAATGGACCACAAAAGAAGACAGGAACAACTATACTTGTATCAGATGAAATAGACTTCAAACTAAAAAAGTAAAAAGAGACATAGACGGACACTACTTTATGATCAAGGAGACAATACATCAGGAAGATATAACACTCATCAACATATACTCACCAAATGAAGCAGCACCAAAATATATTAGACAATTCTTATCAGCTCTGAAAACAGACATTAAAGAAAACACATACATAGTGGGAGACTTCAGCATCCCACTTTCACCAATGGACAGATCAATGAGACAAAACATAAACAAAGACACTAAACCCTAAATAAAGACATAGAACTCATGGACTTAACAGACATCTATAGGACACTGCACCCCCAAAAAATCCAAGTACACATTTTTCTCAAGCATGCAGGGATCATTCTCCAGAATTTATCACATACTGGGCCACAAGACAAACATCAACAGATACATGAAGATCAAAATCATACCAACTATCTTCTATGAGCATAAAGACATCAAACTAGAAATAAATCATGAAAAGAAAACAGGAAACCCTCCCACTTCATAGAGATTGAAATCCACACTACTGGAAGACCACTGGACTAATGAGGCAATCAAAGAAGAAATACTTTGAGTTGAACGACAAGGAGGACCCCACTTTCCAGAATGTATGGGATGCAGCAAAAGCAGTAATAAGAGGGAAAAAAATAGCAATACAGGCTCACATCAACAAACAAGAAAGAACTCAAAGAAACAACCTAATCTCACATCTCAAAGAACCATAAAAAGAACAACAAAAAAACCCTAAAGCCAGTAGATGAAAGGAAATAATAAAAATCAAAGCAGAAATAAATGAAATAGAAATTAAAAACAATCCAAAGCTGATAAAGAAGAAGTAAAACAACTAAACAGACCAATTACAAGCAACAAAATTGAAGCAGTAATCAAAGCTCTCCCCCAAAATAAAAGACCAGGCCCAGATGGCTTCACACAAATGTTCAGGAGTGAATTACTGCCTATGCTGCAAAAACTCTTCCAAAAAATTGAGAAGGAAGGAATACTACCAAATATGTTCTATGAAGCCAACATTACACTAATACCAACACTAAACAAATACAGCACAAAAAAGAATATTACAGGCCAGTCTCCCTAATGAACACTGATGTGAAAATCCTCAACAAAATCATTGCCAACAGAATCCAACAATGCATCAAAGGGATAATAAACCATGATCAAATGGGATTCATCCCAGGGGTACAAGGATGTTTCAACATACAAAAATCAATCAGTGTAATCCAACACATCAACAAAAAGAAAAATAGAAACCATATGATCATATGCTGATCAGATGATCATATGATCAGATGCTGAGAAAGCATTCGACAAAGTCCAACATCATTTATGATGAAGGCCCTTGAAATTCTCGGGATAGATGGAACATACCTTATCATGACAAAAGCCATATATGACAAACCCACTGCCAATATTATTCTCAATGGTGAAAGGCTGAAGGCCTTTCCTTAAGATCAGGAACAAGAAAAGGATGTCCTCTGTCACCACTGCTCTTCAATATAATACTGGAGGTCATAGCCAGAGCAATAAGACAAGAGAAATACATACAAGGAATCCAGATAGAGAAAGAAGAAGTAAAACTATCAATATTTGCAGATGATATGACAATATACAAAGAGAACTCTAAAAGCACCACAGAAAAACTACTCAAAATAATACACCAGTTAGTAAAGGAGCAGGATACAAAAACAACACAAAAAAAACAGTAGCCTTCCTATACACAAGCAATAAATCTGAAGAAGAAGAAATCAAAAAAACCATCCCTTTTATAACTGAAACAAAAAAATCAAATACTTGGGAATAAACCTAACAAAAGGAATAAAAGACCTATACAAAGAAAACTACAAAACACTGTTAAAAGAAATAGAAGTAGACACAAAGAAATGGAAAGACATCCCCTGCTCATGGATCGGAAGAATTAACATTACCAAAATGGCCATCCTACTGAAAGCAAACTACAGATTCAATGCTATTCCAATTAAAATTTCAATGTCATTTTTCATAGAAATAGAAAAAATATTGATGAAATTCATATGGAACCACCAAAAAACCTGAACAGCCAAAATACTCCTGAAAATAAAAAAAAAGAAGGGAATGGAGGCATCATTCTCCCAGATTTCAAACTATACTACAAAGCCATAATAATCAAAACTGCATGGTATTGGAACAAGAACAGACACACGGACCAATGGAACCGAATAGAAAACCCAGAAATAAACCCACATATTTATGGTCAACTAATCTTTGACAAAGGAGCAAAGACTATGCATTGGAGCAAAGAAAGTTTGTTCAGTAAATGGTGCTGGGAAAACTGGGTCGCTACATGCAAAAGAATGAAGCTTGACTGCTACCTCACACCATACACAAAAACCAACTCAAAATGGATTAAAGAACTAGACATAAGGCCTGAAACCACAAAATACATAGAAGGAAATATAGGCGAAATGCTACGTGAAATGCACCTCAAAGACATCTTTACAGACACATCACCCAAAGCAGTGATAGTGAAGGCAAAGATAAGCAGCTGGGACTACATCAAATTAAAGAGCTTCTGCACAGCAAAAGAGACAATAACAAAAACAAAGAGAAACCCCACCGACTGGGAGAACATTTTTGCACACAACACTAATGATAAAGGACTGATCACAAAAATCTACAAAGAGCTGACAAGATTCAACAAAAACAAAGAAAATAATCCAGGCAAAAAATGGGCAGAAGAGCTAAAAAGAAACTTCTCTGAAGAGGAAATGCAAATGGCCAACAGGCATATGAAAAAATGTTCAACATCACTTGCAATAAGGGAAATGCAAATCAAAACTACAGTGAGATACCATCACACACCAGTGAGAATGGCACATATTAAAAAAAACTAGCAAGAACAAATGTTGGCAAGGACGTGGAGAAAAAGGAACTCTCTTGCACTGCTGGTGGGAGTGCAAACTGGTCCAACCACTATGGAGAGCTGTGTGGAGATTCCTTGACCTATTAAAGATAGAGCTTCCATATGATCCAGCAATTCCACTCCTAGGTATTTACCCAAAGGACACAGAAACATTAATTCCAAAGGGTACCTGCACCCCTATAGCAGCACTCTTTACAATAGCTAAGCTTTGGAAACAAACCAAATGCCCCATAATAGATGACTGGATCAAGAAGATGTGGTACATATACACCATGGAATATTACTCAGCATTCAAAAAAGATAAACACATGCAATTTGCAGCAACATGGATAGAGCTGCAAGGGATCATGCCCAGCAAAATAAGCCAGAAAGAAAAATAAAAGACCGATAGTCTCACTCATAGCAGGAATCTAGAAAACTTAAATAAGGGACCAGGAAAAAGAATAACTATAAGAAAGAAAAAATCAATATCAACAAACAAGTATGAACCAGAGACACATATTGAACCACAAAAAACCACAAGCCATACTGATGAAAAAGGTCGTGTCACACTTTCAAACTTCAAACTATACTACAAAGCCACAATAATTAAAACAGTTTGGGATTGGAACAAAAACAGACACACAGACCAATGGAACCAAATAGAGACCCCAGAAATAAAGCCACACTTGTATGGACAACTGATCTTTGACAAAGGAGCAAAGAATATGCAATGGAACATGGACAGTTTGTTCAGTAAATGGTGCTGTGAAAGCTAGATCACCATGTGCAAAAAAATGAAACTAGACTGCTACCTCTCACAGTGCATAAAAATCAACTCAAAATGGATAAGAGAACTGGACATAAGACCTGAACCATAAAATATAGGGAAAACACTACAAGACATACATCTCAGCAACATCTTTAAAGACTCATCACCCAAGCAAAGATAGTCAAGGAAAAGATAAACACCTGGGATTACATCAAACTGAAAAGCTGAGCAGCAAAAGAGACAAAACAGAGAGACACCCCACTGATTGGGAAAAAATTTTTGCACTCCGTACAACTGATAAGGGACTGATCACAAAGATATGCAAAGAACTCACAGGACTCAACAAAAACAAAGTAAACCATCTAGTCAAGAAATGGGCAGAAGAACTTACAAGACATTTCTCCAAAGGGGAAATGCAAATGGCCAACAGGCATATGAAAAAAATGTTCAACATCACTTGCAATCAGGGAAATGCAAATCAAAACCAGACTGAGATACCAACTTACACCAGTAAGAATGTCACATACCAAAAAAACTAGCAACAAAAATTTTGGCAAGGATGTGGTGAAAAAGGAACTCTCCAACATGGCTGGTGGGAGTGCAAACTGGTCCAGCCACTATGGAAAGCTGTCTGGAGTTTCCTCAATCTATTAAAAATGGAGCTACCATAAGACCTGGCAATCCCACTACCTACCAGGTATCTAACCAAGGACACAAAAACATTGATTCAAAAGAACACCCATACAACTATGTTTATTACAGCACTATTTACAATAGGTAAAACCTGTAAACAACCCAAATTCCCAAAAATAGATGACTGCCTCAAAAGATGTGGTATATATGCACAATGGAATATTATTCAGTGATCATAAAAGATACGCCTATGCCATTCACAGCAACGTGGATGGAGCTAGAAGGAATTATGCTCACTAAAATAAGCCAGAAGGGAGAAAAACAGAGGTTCCCGGAGATCTACACACAGGCCCGGGCCAGCCAGTAAGCTTGCACGGAAAAGCAGTGCACTTGAAAAGCAAACGCGTATCGCGGCTGCCCAGGTACCCGCGCCTGCAACCTAGGCTTGTGGGGAAATACGAGGGGGCCCTCACTGAGGTGGAAGTCCCTCACTGAGTAGTCAGAAACCAGGCGCCCGGGCTCGGGAGCAGGGTGCAAAAGGCACCATTGCTGCGGACACTGAATTGGGCTACAGCCCGCGCCCTGGACTTGAGGGCTTTGGAACCGAGACCCGGGGCACAAAATTCAGGGCGAGAGTTCTCCACGACTGTGGGGCACAAGGCAGACACAGCACCCCAAAGCCATTGAGGTTTTCCCTACCATTTCCACTCTGTTCCCTGTCCCACGGGGTGAAAAAAACAGCTCCCCAAGGACACTAGGAGAGATCTCTGGTGCCACCTAGAGACCAGAAAAAAAGTCACTAACACCCCATAGAACAGGGACCTTCTTCAGAAAAGACTGCTTGAAACCAGCAGAAGGCTCCCGGAGGAGCCAGTGGCGAGCTGGGAAGTTAGCCCACGCTAGCCCCTTCCGACCAGCAGTCTGAGCCCACAGGAGGAGCGGGCATTCATGGCCAGGGCAGACCAGGCACAGAGAAGAGTGTGCCTGAGACTGGACGCACAGGGAGTGCATCCGCATTGCCATTTTAGAACAAGGACATTTCTTCAGTAAAGACTGCCTGAAACCAGCAGAAGTCTCCCTCAGGAGCCAGAGGTGAGCGGGGAAGCTCGCCCACGCTAGGCCCCTTCTGGCCTGTAGTCCAAGCCCAGAGGAGGAGCGGGAAACCACTGCTGGGACAGACCAGGAGCACAGGGGAGTGTGTCCCCACATCAGCATTTTAGAACAGGGATATTTCTTCAGTAAAGACTGCTTGAAACCGACAGATGGCTCCTGAGGAGCCAGAGGGGAGTGGAGAAGTTCAACCAAGATGCCAGCCAGTCCCAGCAACACAGTGTCCCAGTGCATACGACAAATTAGAAAACATACAGTAGGGAGTAGAAGAACCACACGTAACCTAACAACTCCTCAAGAAAAAAGGACACCACAAAAAGAAAACCACCCCGCAGATTGCAACGACAGTAATTTGGAAGAACTTCTGAACCTTCCAGAATGAGAATTTAAAATTGCCGTGATTAAAAAAATGACATAACTCATAAAGGAAAACAATGATCAGAAGAAGGAAATTGAGTCCCTAAAGAGGAAAAAAAGAAACGCAGGAGATCAAAGAATTAATGGAGGCACTAAAGAACTTTGGG